ATCCACATATGCACCGGTATTTTACTCAACATTGCTTTTTCAATGCATTTTAGCCTTCATCCACATATAAACAGCATATAGGATTAGTGAAAACTAAGCTTTTGGAAAACTCCTGCCAGGATAAAGACCTTTGGAAATGTGCACTTTTTTAACATTTAAAAAAACAAACAAACAAACAAAACGTTGTACGTATGGATGTACCCTTAAATATCCATGCAGTGCAAGATGGCACAAACAAATTGGACGATCGTCAGTTTAACATATTCAACACTGAATGCTGTGTCACAGCTGCAGTGATGCAGCAATCACAACGGGCAAGTCTCGACACTCTGGTGAAAATTTCTTTTACTGCAAAAAACTAAAAGAAAAAAAAAAATTACCCGATTTCCTAAAAGTCCAAAGTTTAAAATGAGAGTTGTCTTTAATAATTTATTCCAGGTTACTTAAGAATATATAATCATTATAGTCAAGTAATGGGTTAAAAATGTTAGTACTCAGCAGCACCATCAGTAAGACTCCAGCCGATTAGTAGCAGAGCTAAATTCAACTTTTTGTGGCCTGTTAAGTCTTATCTTCATAGCATAATATTTATTCATAGAAGGAAAAGGGATGAGCTTATTGTTTATTCAATTCCTAGCAATGTAAGGAGGCATACTGTAAGCAACAGTCAGCGTGCACCCCAGTGGACAAGCTATGGGATTTTTACATTACCAAGTGTCCACTTATGCCCTATGTTCTGTTTAAAACAAAACAGATAAATCTTCATATGATATACTCTGATACAGTTATATCTACGACAGGCCGGTAAAATCAAAATCAATAAAATGAGTCACACTCAGCAACAATGGATGATAAGTGATAGACATGTTTACGAGCTTCATATTTAGAAAAGACATAAGCAAGCAGGAAGTGGAGGTGGTGAGGCAAGATAAATGAAAGTAATACAACATACAAGGTACTGTAAGTCTTGCTGCTTGATAACTGGAAGAATGAAATACAGGCTGACGAGGCAGAACTAAAATAGTGTCATGTCCACTCAAAACATGAAAGCATAGTGAAAGAGAAAGTGAGCAAAGTTACACAACTAAGAAGCAAGGCACTAGTAGTGTTGAGAGAGGGGTGGACACCAGCCTAGTCTTTCATGTGTTAGCCACTCCCATGAGTGGTTAAATCTCAAGGCCTCTAGCAGCTGCTCGGCCTATTGTACCGTGTGTTTAGCGGGGTGTGTATGTGAGAGATACAACCACCAGCCAGTTTCCGTTTCAATACTGCCTGTGTCCGCCGGCCCCCAGTGGCCTCTACTTCTCCTAAACAAGAGCTGTGATTACAACAGAGCAGGAACCACATGGCAAACACACTCATAACAATAAGAGACACTTTTACATGACTTCCTCAAAATTAGTTCGGTATACAGCAAAGGGAGAAAATATAGAGTCACGTTGCTCAATCCTACGCAGTGAAACACGGTGCCTGCCTCTGAGATTCTGCATGCATTATCCTCGTCTCTTATCTTCTTCTCGCGCTGTGATGTACGCAGGCAACTAGTCAGGCTCTAGCCAAGCTCATATCCACAACACCCACTTCATCAACTAACTGCCAGTAACATTCGAAACACCTTGTGCATAGAAAAGTTTATCAAAAACACAATATATTATTATCAGTGTTCCAAAACTCCTTGTCAAGCACAACGACCTGTTATATAACTCCCAGTAGTAGCACAGATCTTTGGTGGCTTTGTGGCGTCTGCATGCAATGCAGAAAATGAACACGCACATAACCAAATTTGTACTTGCAGTGACGGTGCCAGGGCTGGGGAGGCATCAGAGGAAGAGTGTGACGACATGTGACTTCGCAGTTCCATCTGCGCTGAATGGATGTGCCAGACACACACATAAAGTTACCCTGGCAACTGAGCAACGGCACTGGTTGGAGGTCAGAGAGAGAAAAGGAGAGATGCAGACCAAAACGCTCCTAGAATATGTAGAAGGAGCCCACAAACCGACTGCTTATTCATTTATAAAGCTGCACTTTGCATTTTCTTCACAGACGCATGCAGGCTGCGTCTAGGAACGTTACACATAAACAGCAGCCAACGTGACGCAACGTAGAGCAGAGACACAATCTGAGAAAGACCAGGGGTTACACTTGATGACGCAAAAGCTCTACAATGCTTATCCCTTTCTCCTGTAAACACACGGCTCCGATTCTGAGAGGGGAGTTTTATTTCACTCACACAGATGTAATCTCCGACTAATCACATTTGCAAGCCTTGGACGGAGCAGTTACGCTGCAGTGCTGAACAGATGGGCCCACGTAGATGAAGCATTTCTGGGATTAGCCTGGCCCAGACGGCGGAGGTGGCATGTAGAGTTACCAAGGGACAGTTTCTAAAAAAAAATAGCTGGGGCTCAAATTACATTACAGAGAGTCGCTGAATATCAGTGATTGGAAATGGAAGTGTATGTGATGATGTTAAAATCCTCAGTATAACTGATTTTCTCGCTCAGACTGTAAAGGCACTTTGTTTAAATTTTTGGAATACAGCTTGCTAATGCACAAGATTAAGTGGAATATATAAACTGAAACCAACATGATATTTTTGTATACAGACAGGAAGACACAAAGAATCAGATTGACCACTAAGAAAGAAAGAAAGACTCCCAATAATCATTAAATACAGCATTTGTAAATAGGGTTGCAGATGGGAGTTGTGTTCCTCTGGACTAATGCAAAGCTCCATGTAAGGTAGAATAGTAGAGCAACTGTATTTTATTGGATTACATTCCTAAGCCCTAGGGATGCACTGATTGTGAAATTCTGGACTGACACCAATGATTAAAACATTTCAGCCGTTAGGCTGTGCAGATACAGATTTTGTTAGTTTGCATTGTTTTTGTAATGATTCATTCTGACTTCTTGTGCCAAAGAAATTTATCTTTGTTATAAAATTAAATAAATAACTGTCGGGCCTTGATTACATTATCTTGGATCAATTCATTTAAATTTATTAAACTGGACCCCAGATACAAACAAAAGAAGAACACAAGCCACTGCCATCAGTGAATGTAATCTCGGGATGTTTGCTACATATATAACATTTTTTTAAAAAGAAAAAAAAAATATCTCCCCGTCACAGAGAATTTGCCCTTCAACTAAAGGGAAAATCACCAGGTCTATTATTATTATTATTATTATTATTATTATTATTATTATAATAATAATAATAATAATAATAATAATAATATTATATTGATTAGAAATATATCAAGGTTTATGTTGAGTTTACTCAACATTAAAATACATTTAAGGTTTTCAAATGGTTAAAAAAACAAAAACAGGAAATACTTAGATTTCTGTTAAGTAAGGTAACAGACTTTTTGCATACAAAATCATGCTTACACACATAGCCAGCTGCCCCCCACCCCCACTCCAAAAGGGCTGGTTTGAGCCATGAAAATCCCTTTTACTTATAGGCCGATGGCAGTCAAGACAAACACAATCCTACTAAGCCCAACATTTAAGAGGAGCTGACTAAATGATTCAGATGCACCCTTCAAACACACAAGACTACTGTCTTGAAGACTAAACTTTCACTGTTCTCAATGCTTCCCCTTTCTTTACTTTGAATTAAAAGGAAGTTAAAAACCAAAAAGAATTCCAAGCAGTTTCTTTCTTTGACATTTGGAAGTCTGAGGATTTCTGGCATTTGGAAGGAAATAGTTTTCCAAATGCCAAAGTTTTCTCTTCCTTTAGGCTCAACATTAACTGTAAGTACTCAGTGACTATGGTCTTGGAACTGGCATGACTGCCACGGTAATACTACCCAATGGATAAAAAACCTTCTGCATATATTTAACTGTTACAAAGGGCTAAGGCAAACAGGACTGTCGGTCATTTCTCCATAATGCGACACTGCAGCACTGTAAAGGCATGCTAGTCATGTGCGTGAACCAGTAACCTCGGGGTCATATGTTAAGTGTTGGGAACAGCAGCCTCACACAGCCACACCAAATATCATATGGAACATTCCTTAGAGTCCTTTAAAACAGGGCGAGAGAGGCGAACAACAGCAAAGGGTCACAGAGGACGCTCACAAAGACTGCGCTGCACAGGACTGAGCAGAGGGAGTGGAAGATAAGATGTAACTGCTTGATTTAAACCTCCTACCAACTGCACTTCCAAAATTTCCGATCAGTGAGGTTGAGAATCCCTGGTTGCCCCCTTTTCTCCAAATAACCTTCCTGTTCTTCTTTTGTGGTTATTCTTAAACTAAGACATGCTTTAGAAAAGACGAGATAGACGTTGCTTGTGCACTGTATTGTTTGTGGGTGAACCCACACCACACCCAAAGCACTCCCCAGAGGGGTGCTTTGCAGGGGGTTCACCGCCAATGAGCCATCCCGAGCAGAGAGCCTGCAGTGGCCCGTGGCTGCTAAGTAAGCTGTGCTGGTTTAGCAGCACAAACGGGTCGACATAAACTCTCGGCCCCGACACAGAAAGTCAGATACACTAATCGCTAACTACCTAGCTCTCCCCACTCTTCTCAAAGATTTCCATGTGAATTAGCATGATGCATTTACTGTCAACTAGCTTGCACGTTGATCTATTGTTAGCCTCACATCAAACTCCTTGGTACTGCTTCTTGATGTGTGTATTTATGTGTGCGGTGGGGCGACCTGTACATTCACGTGAGTGGATGAGATAAGAATATAATAGCTAAAATACAATGTTGCACCCAGCTACAGAGAGTCTGCGTTACAAAAAAAAAGACGACCAGACTCACTCGCGCTTAGCTCCAGTATCTCCGCGTCCGCTCCTCGCGATGGATGCCGATTTACTTTGATAAGCATCCTGCATTTTAAAACAAACACACCCAAACCGCTCGTCAAGCTTGACGCTACGTTAGCTAGCTATCGCGACGGATGGGAAGGGATTTCTTTGCAATTGTGTCGCTAACGATGGCAAACTTTGTCCCGTCGTGTTCTGTAACTGTAACTCACCGAAGTGCGCCGTTTTGCTCGTTCTTCTTCTGGTATTCCAGCGGGCACATCAGCGGAAAGCAGGCTGCTAACCGTTTTTGTTAGGCTAACACTCCCGGACACGACGATGCGCCTCGCAACAGCTGTGTTCTGTTTTGAATGAGGGCTGAGGAGGAGAGGAGACGCCGCTAACGGGCGGAGCTTCCCGGGTGCACAGCGGGCCGATCTGCCCTTTATCCTCTGCAGTAACTCTTAATGTACGGAGACCTTTTGCTACTGTTTATATCATCCGCAGGTTGTCAATGCACAGCCAGTTAAAGGCTTGGCAGATGGGATTCGCACAGCCCGCCCTCTATTGTAGTGCCGGACTTCTGTTTGAAGGGCTGGTTGGCTTCAAAAGGGCTAAAAGTTCATGGGTTCTCCTCTGACTCCCTCTTGTGGACAAGACACAATTGTGCTTTTCAAAATTGTTGAGAAGACTATTTTTTCACCCTAGTTATAGTGTTTTGTGTCCCCACAGTGGAAATGGCGCGTTTTATGCGATACAACTGGAGTTAGTGATGACTTCTCAGCAGTTTTCACACTTTGCGATGGCATCTGGGCAGGTTGAATTAGACCATAGGTGTCAAACTCTGGCCCGTGTGCCAAATTTGGCCCGCAGCCTAATTACATTTGGCCCGTGAAGCCATACCAAATTACTATTAGAGCTGGCCTACTGGTATTATACAGCTAATATATATATATTGTTTAGTATTAAGCTTTGCTTGTTCCATATTCAGTTTTTCAGCAAAACTTGTTTGAGTCCATAAGAAAAGATTCATTCTTATATCTGGAGGAAGATTTTTTTTTTCCCAATAAATATTAATGTTAGCCCTCGACTTTGTTCCAGTTTTGAATTTTGGCCCACTGTGTATTTGAGTTTGACACCCCTAAATTAGACCCTTTAGTGGGGCAGTTTTGGCCCAGGCCACATGTTTGACGTCTCTGCTTAGTATAGTATAAGCTTAATATAAAATCTTCAAAGCAACACTAAAACTAGGTGTGAAATAACAAAATAAATTAGACTTTTGGGGAAAAGGAAAACTAATTGAAATGATATTAATGATATAACTAAAATAAAGTGATCTAAACCTTTTTTTATCTGATGGGTATATTTGTTTTAAACTGTATAGGCTCATGTGTAGTCATTTATACACCACAAATCACAGAAACATGGGGAATAAATCAACACTTGCACAGAAATGAGATGAATGTACCATTTTTATTTTTTTTGCAAATGTTTTGATTGTATTGATGCACTTAATCATGTTTTTAAAAATAATAGACATTATCTTCAATCTTTGAACCCTGTGAACGATGTGGGTTTATTCAAACAAACTATCTAACAAATAATCTAAACCAAAACAACGATAATTCAACAAAAGTGTGCTACTCCCCAAACTTAAGCTGCCTTCCCTTTCCTGAACCATGCAGCTCCCTTGCTCGATTTTTCAGCTCCTCTGCTTTCTTTTCATCCTTTTCTGTACCATCCCCAAGTCTGTACATGCGACTTGCATTGGCACAGCCCCACACGTGTCCCAGCTCACAAGCCCTGTTAGCGTATTTTAGAGCGAGAGCCATATCTGATGCCAGCCCTTTGGAATTGCCCTCAATGAACAAAGCGCTGAGGTTAAAGCAGGAAGGAGCGAATCCACCTGCGCAGGCCTTCTCATAGTACTGCCGAGCTGCTTTCAGGTCAGGTCCTCCTTCCATAGCTTGTCCGTCATGGGCTAAAAGACCAAGATTATGGCAAGCGTCTACAGATTTCTTTCCTCCAGAATTGCAGGAGTGCAGAAAACAAGAGTAGGCTGCTTTTAGACACTGGGTGATTCCACCTGGTGGAAAAAAAAAAGATTAGGGGACTGACTTAGAATTTTGTAATGGCATTACTTAAGTAGAAGAAACCTTAGAGATCATTCATGCTAGCAACAAGCTGCAAAATGTATCAAAGGATCAAAATTATAAGTAGTACTTAAATGACTGGTGATAATATGTGCACTATATTATGCACAGTTGCTTCAATAGGTCATCACTTCAGAAGCTTATCCTGGAAACTTTTCAGCTTTTACAGTTGTGCTGACACAAAATACTGTGACAGCTAAAGGAACCACGGACCAGTTAGGCTTACTGGTTGCCCTTTCATGAGCTTTTCTTATAAAATCTTAATTTGAATAAAATAAAATGGCACAATATTTCGATTTCACGTTGAAATGTAGTAGGGTAGATATAAAAGTCTAACAGAAACTCAAAGCCTTCAGTATAGTGTTTAGTATTTAACACTTCAGAAAAGATAAATAAGGAGGTTAAATATCCACCTTTGCCGGTGACATGGTAAGCACCCAGTTTATAGCAGCTCTCTCCATGCCCATGCGTCTCACAGTTATGTTTGAGCACTTGTGCTGCAGAATCGTAGTTCTTCTTGACCCCTTCCAAGTAGTCAGCGAGCCTTTGGCACCCTAAAAGCATGAAACAGGGGGCAAAGAGTGAGGAAAGCAGAACTGCATAACTACCATGTGTTTCAGCACCACCGATCAGTGAACAGCTCAGAAACTTCTACCTTCAGGATCTTTCTCATTGTAGCACTGAAAGCTGTACTCCACGCCTAAATTATCCAAAAACTGCTTCACTTCCTTCTCGTCTTCAAAATTTATAAGTCCAGCCATTTCTCCGCTTTACTTGAACTAGTTTCACCTCTGCAACAATCACATGTGCTCAGCTCCTCACGGCGTCCACCGCTGCTGCTTGACCTTGATGACTGACTTTGATATGCGAGGCTGAAAAAGTTCTTCCCAAAACGCAAAGGTCTATCTGGATGCTTGCCGCTAAATGTAAAGTCATTATATGAGCAAAGTGTGCTTGATGGTATAATAGTGTCCCTTTGAAAAGCAGATGGACGCGGTCACGTTTGTCTTCGGCTGTTCGCTTCCTGGTTTTGTAACCCTTCCTTGCGGGCTTCCGTAGTCCAGCCTCCCTTCGTTAATGTACTTCCGGTGCTATGACCTTTGTTTACTGTCTGTCTAGTCGCTCTAGTTAAAAATAGATCCAACTGCTCACAGTGGAAATTACATGCCAAACAGGTTTCTAGGTTCAGTCTTTCGGTCGCTTCAGCAGCTGGTCGACATGAATCCCCCCTCATTCGTAAGCTTTCGACGTTTTTGCTCGCCTGGTGATTTTCTACCACCGAGACACCAAGTGAGCTAGCTAGCTGGCTCTCTGTTAAGCTCCGTTGTGTTCGTGCGTCGTCACGTTCTCCTGGTACCTCTTAGAGTGATCAGCAGCTCCTCAGACTCTCACACAGGTGGACACTGTAAATTGAAAGGGAAAGAGGTGTCCGAGACGACGAGCAGGCTGGTTATATAATCACAAGTCTAGGTTGTACAAGCTAAAATATATTTTCTTTTAAAGCCTTTGCCATGGCCTGCAGTTTCCTAAACACGGTAAGTCTCAGGTGATTCATTTGCTTTGACAGTTGTAGAAAATTGTACTCGGTGCATCCACATCAACACACCTCTTGGTTTTCAGGAGGAGGCGTCTCCAGCGGCTCTGACAGACCTGTGCCTCACCTATGTGAGCCAAAACCTGGAGTGTTTCTGCGTGAAGCGCCCTGATGGCTCCTTCTGTTTCAGGGAGGCTGTACTCTTCCCGCAGGAGCTGGCAGACCAGCTCCTGGCCAAAATGGCCACTGAAGGTAAACCTTTAAAGACGTTTACGAATAGTCCAGAGTATTGCTGCAGCCTAGCGCTCTAGTTTCTACACACATACATTATTCATTGGATCATAAAAGGTCACCATGATACTCATGAGGATGAAAAATCTTCACTTGCACTTGGGGGAAATATTTGAAGTGAAAGCCACTTCAAACTGATGGCCAGTAAACTAAATCCTTGCCCTGGGTAAAAAGCCAGTGTTGTTTAAGGTTGTGCTTGATTCCGAAAGATAAATTCACTCTGCTATAGGTCTGCTGAACGACAGCACAGTGGGTGTGTTTCGGAACTGTGAATACTTGCGGTTGAGACGGGCCTGCATCCGTACTGCACGGATCTCTGCAGAGGCCTTCCAGAAAGCCCTGTGCCCTCACAGATTGCTGGAGTTGGATGCTGCCCGGGTCAATGCAGACCTTACCATTCCTGATATCCTGCAGGGGCTGGCCACTAATAAATATTGTCAGGTAATATGAGAGTGTGTCAGTTTTTTGTGGATAACTGCCCTTTCTTTCCACTGTATGAAAGTAATTTAAACTTTCTCCCTGCAGGAGTCCCTTCAGCGACTTGTCCTTACAGGCCTCACCATGTCCTCTCTGGAGGAACCAATCTGGTATCGCTTCAGTGCCCTCCAGGGCTTGCGTTCCCTCTCTCTAGCTAATGTAGACTTCTACGACTCTGGGCTAGGCGATGTGTGTTCCCTGCCTCGGCTGGAGAGCCTCGATCTTTCTAATACTTCAGTCACAAACCTGAGCCCGCTGCTGGGCCTGAAGGAGCGGCTGCGCTCACTGACACTGCATCAGTTGAAAAGGCTGGAGATGAGCACTGCTCAGCTGCTGGGAGTCATAGGCCAGTTGAATGTATTGCAGGTTAGTGGTTTGATTGTGTGTCTAGTATTAAACCTGTTTCTCTGTTTTTGTTTTGTTTTTTTTCAAAAACATTTTAAGAAAACTCCATCTCTGAGGTTTTATAAGCCATGCCTGTTTGTGTGTGTGTAAACCTTTGCACATGCAGCACCTGGACATTAGTGATGATAAACAATTTACCTCTGACGTGGCTCGTCAACTTCTCGGACAGCCAGGGATTCTGCCCGCCCTTGTTTCCTTAGATGTCTCAGGGAGGAAACAGGTGTGTTCATCTGCTTTAATATTTTTATTTGTTTCTTGGTTAAACCGCAGTCAAAGCACACATATTTTAAAGTCGAGTAATTTATTATATCTGTGAATGTTACAGGTGACAGATGCAGCTGTTAAGGCATTTATTGAAGAGAGGCCAGGAATGACCTTTGTGGGACTTCTGGCCACAGATGCTGGTTTTTCAGACTTCCTATCAGGAGAAGGAAATCTAAAGGTAGGTATAGAATGATCATTAATGGGAACTAAACAAAAAGTGAAAACATCAGGTTTGCTCAAGTATCTTCTGTGTGCCATCAGGTGACTGGAGAAGCTAATGAGACTCAGATCTGTGAGGCACTGCGGCGGTACAGTGAGAGAGAAGGTTTTGTGAGAGAAGCTCTCTTTCATCTGTTTAGCCTCACTCATGTCATGGAGAAGCCAAGGCCTGACATCCTAAAGGTAAACACATTATCGTTGAACCTATTAAGTTATTATTTTACTTAATCTTTAAAAGAAATTATAGCATCATATCATGG